TATAGACAAGTATTAAAATATTGGTATGCGTGTATGTAGTATTATATACGTAATACGTAGGATTAGGTTGAGCTTATGTTAAAGTGTTTGCCACTAAAAAGTCTTCAGAATCTATTATTAAATTAAGTTTTCACCCAACTGCGGCGAAGCCCAAGGAGGGTTTTGTATTTGACCTGTATGTATGTATATGTATACATGTTTGATTCTATGTACCCTCATAATTAATCAACGGCTTAACTGATTGTAATGATTCATACGTCGATAGATTCGTGATGATAATGCAAGTGCCAAAGGCTAAATGTTCCTTTGTCAACTTATTTTCATATTTTTAGTTCAGTTTTACGCAGTCGCGTTTTTATATTTTTATAATTGTTTTTTTAATGAAACTTTTAATTTATTTAATGCGATAGTTACTGTAGCTTCAATTATTTACCATTTGTGAAGTAAATATAACTGTTATTTAAAAAAAAATGAATGATTTGTATACTAATACAAAATTTGAAAATGTATCAATACCTTTACTTCAAATAAAAACCAATCAAAATTTACATATAAGATATTCGAATCTCTTTAACTCTTGTGGGTAGTTTGTCAATTTATCTTCCATTCTGTACAAAAAGTTTCCAAATAACCTCCGCGCAGCTCGTAAACACAATATCGTAAGTATTGTGTATTTACTGGCAAATAAGTATCGGTGCCTCGGGCTCGGGGAAACAATGAAAAATGACCGGCGGAAAATTGCGCGGCTTCGAAAGGATTCGAATACGATACGATCGGGCTCTTGAAGGATAGTTGGGGCGGACTCGGTTTTATATTTTTAATCTTTATTATTTTATTTTATATTGAAATGGCTTTAATAATACTACATAATATGTGTGTATGTTTGTCAAGTGACGTAGTGTTTGTCGAGAAATTTGACACAATTTGTATGGAGTTTACGTCAACTTTCTATAACTAGTAAAGAAAATCAATGATAAGAGCCCTAACAGGACATTGCTGCTTAAACAAGCAAATCAACCTAAGGGTGAGTGTCAAATATACCTGCAAAAGATGTATCGAAGATAAAAGCCACTACATCGTCTGGGGAAGTATAGACCTCTTATACACAAACGCAGTATTCATCTGGGAAGCACTTTCTAGGCCCAGATAAAATTATAGAGGCACAGAGTGTACCCTTAAGCAAAACCTACCGCTCAATACAGCTGGGCATCACGGCCGCAGCAGCAGGGTTCATTGCTTTATTCTAATTAAACAGACCAGGCATGGTCGCGGCGATATCCTATAGCCACAACAAGAAAAAAAGGAAAATCAATCTAAATTATAGAAAATCAAAAAAGTTAAAAGTACACAACACCCTTTATTCATTTTAAGTTTAAATTTGTTGATTCCTATCCCGCAATAGGGTCTAAATAATGTTGCCCGAGGCCGGTCCTGCGTCAGCGCGCACTCTATTTTCCTATTTGCGCGGCAGATTGGCTGTGATTGTATTGTTTGCACCCCCGCCTGAAGTCGCGCGGAAAATGTGTTGACTAACTGCTGAAATACTTACTCTAGAGATGCAAGGGTGGGGATTTAGTACCTAAATTATATCTAAATCCACGTTGTTTTAAAATAATAGGAATAATCTATACATATAATAAAATTGTAACTAAGCCGAATCTATACATTAAATAGTTTTTGGAAAATCTTATTGAAATAGACATTATTATCGATACAGAGGTCGAATCTATAGTTTTTAGAATTTTGGTCTGTCCGTCTGTCTGTTACCGCATCACAGAAAAACCACTGGAGGGATTTTGATGAAATTTGGTATGGTGATAGCTAGCTGGTTATCCGGGTCAACATTAAGGATACTTTTTACCGCGGGAAAATATCTCATTTCTGAGAAAAAATACATAACTGCAATGTAAGAGTATACTAATATGTTAAACTTAAGAATTTGGTTTTTGGCCATCTGAACGCGGGCGGAGCCGCGGGCAATGCTAGTTGTTACATATACCAACTGAAATTTTAATTTTAAAAATTGACTAAAGCACATATTATTTCAACAATGACAGAGATGATTATAGGTATAAGTTTAATATATAATTTGTGTATTTTTTTTTAATTAGTTAACAGTGTTTACAGATAAAAAAGACTATATTTTATTAGGCAATAACAAAAACACTCTTAAAAATTATTTTTTCTTTCCATTCGAGGATAAAGTCAAAGGTCAAATTTTTATATTAAACTGTACAATAACGCTTTTTATGAAATAATGAATAATATAAAATGTATAAAATAATTTTTGATTAATTATATAGGAAAAGCGTATTGCTTATTTATTATTTTAAAGGTAAGGAAGGTTATAGGTAGGTTTCATATAAACTTTCATCCCCATTTTACCCCCTTATGGGGTGAATTTTGGTCTGATCATAAATATTTTTTTGGGTTGTATTATAACATTCATTCCGTGGGAATGAGATAGTCTCCCGCGGTAAAAAGTATCCTATGTCACTCTCCAGCCCTCCAACTATCTCCACACAAAGTATCACCCCAATCCGTCATTTTTCGACGTGAAAGAAGGACAAACAAACACACTTTCACATTTATAATATTAAGAACGGAAATATGGATGTTTCATAAAAAAATACCATTACACTAAAACGACTACCTATATTGATAATATGGCAATACACTTGCGAGCCAATCACCTACGAGGGCGTTACGTACGTCGTAACGCGCGGATAACTTTTATGAGCGGGAAATTGTGTTTATGCGGCCGTGTGTCGCGATTTACCGCCGCCGCCAACGTCTGTAATCGGAAATATTGTCGTACAACGAAGTTATACTATGGTGCATTGCTTAAGCGATGCAAAATAGGTTAAATTTGAGTATATATTCGTTAAAACTAAAAAAGCTAGACGGATTTTGATGAAATGTAGAATATACATAAACTATAATCTCGAGTAACATATCGGCTACTGTTACTAATAAAAATTGTTGTGCTGTCTGTAGGTATGATTACAAAAGACACCCAGGAACGTGCCCGAACGGAACGAAGGAAAGTTTATAGTTTTATGTACATATAAAACATGAAATGCAATAAAAAAATTTAATAACCAAATAGAAATGAAGTTCAAGCTTAGTGTTAATATTATTACATAGGTATATAAGTGTTTCTGACCGAATTCAAAATCTTAAGGACATTTAATTCATTTGTATGTATATCCACCTCAAGGGTGGTCTAAAGAAAACTTCAATAAAAATCCACCCCTAAAGGTGGGATATTTATTCGTTACTGCATCAATTAAGGTAATACACTCTCATGCAGCAACCAAAGCAAACAACCAACGATATTTTAAATAAAAAGATATTATGTAGTTTGTTGGAATGTGACATCACCTGACACATTGTGCCTACATGAAGTATAACAATTAATCCTCGTAAAATAAGTCTATTGCTAAGTTATCTAAGGTTAAAGGAGTTCTGAGAGAAGCGAGTGCGGATGTTTAATATTTTATATGTGAGTATAATAAGCTATTTCTGTGGCTTTCCGACTTTTGTTGAAAAAATATTTGCCTAGTAAGTTTAATGAAATTATTTATAATTACATCACAAAGAGCTTTATTAGCTTATGAGCTTTAGTTTACAATAACAATGATAATTTTGATTGAAATATTATCAAAAGCTTTGTAGCAATACAAAAAAAGTCCAAAGAATCCACGAAAAAATACGAAAAGATAGCTTTATTAAAAATCTCAAATATTCGCGTAAGTAAATCTAAGAAAGTATTATGAAGCTAAAGACTTTATTTTTTCTTTAAAAATTCTAATTAGTTTTTATAGTATGACTCACAGGTAAAACCGCGAGATTTTCTCGCACTAGTAATTTTTATTTCCACGAAAATATATTCTTCAAACATTCAAAGTGATAGTCGCTGCCGTTCTTCCCTTTTACCACGCACGAATGAGTTCGACTCGTTTCAATATTATTGTCGATCTCACTCGGATAACAAACAAGTTATTGGCTTGCTATTGCTCGCGCTCGCTGTGATATTGTTTTCTGATCGATCTTATTTGTCTCGATTACGTATAGATAATTTATATTTTTTATCTGTTATATTAATTGATGAATATATTATTATGTACACATCTTTTGTCATACAAGTTTTGTTAATAGGGCTGCTTTGAATGTATTTATACAAGTGCGTGGTGTGTACATAGGTTTTTCAAAGTTGTTTTTCAAAATAAATTCATATTTGCTAAGGTATTTCCAGTGTAGACAAAAAGAAAAATATTTCTTGAATAATAAACTGTCTTACACCAGTAATGCTTTAAACGGCTAGATAAATATATTGTTCTCTCTTATTCTCTATAATTAGTATTCCTTATTGTTAATCTGTTCTTATGAATAACAGAAATATAACACTTTTATATGTTATTTCTATTTAACAAAAATAAATAAAATTTAATAAATTATTTCCATTTTTACGTAACGTGCGCGTTAATTGCCTGAAATCTTCATCACGTAGGAAACGCCGAGCTGTCGAGTACATTCCACTAAGGACATAGGTGTAACAACATCGTTACCACAATCAGCACTAACGATGTCTCACATACTCTCAACTTTACCTACATAAACTACTCTTCGTGAAAGAAAACAGCAAAAACAAATAGAGAAAAATAGTCTTTAACTATTTCAAATAGACGTCAAATTCCTTTGCATATAATAAGCGAAAGATAGTGCTTTTGGTATTGTACATTGAGGTTTCATAATAGGACACCTATATAGTGTTAACAGTATATACGGTTGTAGTCTTTATTGTAAAGAAATAGGATTTAAAATAGTATGCGATTTTAAGAGGAAGATTTCTAATTGGAACTGCGATGTGTGGCCGCGGGCGCAGAGTAGCAATTTACAGGCAAATGTGTTTTTTAATTGTACGACGCGACGTGGTTTATATTGAAAGCTAGTTTTTACAAGTGTTTCGCAAATTATAATTATGTTTATTGTTATAGGTACAAAAGGATTTCTTCGGACGAATTGTTCCTGTCGCTCAAACACATAAAAATGGTACGTATATATATATATATATATATATATATATATATATATATGTAGAATATGGAAACAACAGTTCGTTATATATAAACAATATAAATATCTACGAAAATACGTTATCCATGAATTTCACTTTTGTGTTAATAGTTTAAGAAAATTAAAAAGAAAATGCTACGAGAACATGTTTAATTGGATTTTTATTAACAAGTGTTTTGTATAGTTTAATAGCTACATCTATATAGGCATTATTTTCATATTTTAAATTTTTCCATACCACTTTCTTTCCTCAACCTGACTCTGTCATCCGTTATTGTAAATATTGGTTTTTGTAATAAGTATTTACAATACTTATTACAAATAGAAAAACCATTAATTATATATTTTATGGCTTTTACATTTATAAAACAACGTATAATTTGTAAACTTACTTACAATTTGAAAACCGGTATTCTATAGTCAAATTCAATATTAAAATTCTAAATAAGCAAAACCAGGGGACTGTAGCTTGTACCGTACACTTTTCCATTAATATCTTTACTCATCATCGACATAACGACGCCACATAATATCGCCACCAGCCTTTATTGCGTATAATACACCATTATCACATAACGTTACAAGTGGGCCTATTATTTTCAATTACGCAGGCAAAGGGTTGTTAATATTCATCGCCGTCACCGTTGGAATCGAACACCTGATCCCTCGTCGGCCCGATTGTCGACCATTTTGATATTATATCTATAATTTGGTCGGAGACACGTTTTAATAGACGTTGTGTAATTAGCTATAGTTTATAAGGTTGGGTTACACTGTTTATGGGAATAAATCTGTTGATATTTGAAACATTTTGTATCTGTAAATAATATCATGGGGTATTTTTGTGGTTTGTGTGGGTAAAGCAATTTAAGCTTTTTTTACTTTTTAGGGTTTTCGTAGCTAAAAGTACAACGCAGTTTTTATAATGTCAGTCTGTTCCGTACGTCACAGCATAAACTCTGAGGCTATTAGGGCTATATTGCTGAAATCTTATTGGTAGGTGTTTAAATAAGTAGGTTCATAAGAATGCTTTTCAGAGAAATTCTAAGATGGACAAATCTATACCATCAATAAAATGGATATCGTATATATACTTTTAACGTAAAAAATTACGTTTATTGAATCTTACCATAAATTTAAGGTTTTATACTACGGAACCCTCGGAGTGCGAGTCAGTCCCACGTTTTTTATTGACTATAAAGAGATTATTTAATATAGTTAATTGTGAATTAGGTTCTAATAGGGATACTTTTTTTTCTCACCAGCTACTAATATTTGACCACTCAAGAAGCATCTTAAATACTTCATATAATGACTAATACCATTTCTTATCTATATGTCCTTTGCTTTAATACAAATGTCTCTTCAGCTCGTTAACTTGACTGCTTAATGGTCTCAACGCGATTTGTAATGGGAGAGACCGAAAATTCATCTTACGCCAACGCGAGCTTTACGTCAAGATCAGAAACGATAATTCACGATTTAACCGCGACATTATTTACTATATTCTGAGCGAATGTTACAATTAAATGTTAAAATTCGATTTTTCTGTAATAACTGGATTTTTATTACGTATACTGTGTCTTTCAATATGTGGTTATCAAATATGTACCACGTAAACACAATACCTTCTTTATTTCAAATCGATTAAAATGTTAATTATTTACTTTGGGTGTTACCTTAAACATTATTACAATGTATTCTTATTTTATTGCTTCAATATTATGAATTACTAGCATTGCCTGCGGCTCTGCCCGCGTTCAGGTGACCAAAAACAAAATTCTTAGGTTTTACATATTAGTATACTCTTACATTGCAGTTTTTGTATTTTTTCTCAGAAATAAGATATTTTTCCCGCGGTAAAAAGTATCCTATATGTTGACCCGGATAACCAGCTATCACCATACCAAATTTCATCAAAAGCCCTCCAGTGGTTTTTCCGTGATGCGAAATTTTGACATACAGACAGACAAAAATTCTAAAAACTAAAGATTCGAATAATGTTTATTTCAATAAGATTTTCCAAATAATATTTAATGTACAGATTCGGCTTAGTTACAATTTTATTATATGTATAGATAATCCTTTTAAGTTTCAAGGTTTCAAATTTTAAATGTAAAAGTCGAAAGTTTATTATCTCTACGATGCTACGAAATTTCGTAGACGCGTACTACGAAAACGTGCAAACTAAAACATAATTTACCATTTATTTAGTAGGAAATAGAGACGGTACTAAAGTAAATTGTTTTAAATGCTTCTTTGGTCGAGAGGCTAACATTTCGTCGTAGATTTCGAGTCCTGGCTCGAACCAAGAATAGTTGTTAGGTTTTTTGCCCAGTTTTTTTAAGGAGTTGGAAGTTGGTGGCAAAATTATAAAAATATATTTTTAAATTTATCCATTAAGATATATAGAAACATTTAAAATAAATAATAATCGGAGAGTTACACGAGTTTGATTTTGAACTTTAACATCTACTATAAAATAAAACAAGCGTATCATTAAATATAAACAAAAATATTGGCAAAAACGGAAAATTAATGACACATTTTCTACGAGTACCTACCATTTAGAGCAAAATAAAAAAAAATTATATTTATGGAAAGAACATAGAGAATTTCCGTAAGTACATACTAAAGCAGTTATTATCTATGTATAGAAAATCCAAGGAACAATTTGTAATGAGCGCTCTAAGCCAATTGTGAACGAGATCGACTCTCTGTTTGACTTGGCCCCGTTGTACTCTCACTCGATTTCAGCTAAATGCTATTATTTCATGCTTACATTATGTTAAATTGGTTTCCACTTCTCATTGAGTTGGATTGATTAATTTTCGATAATGTTAATCTTCCATTATTATAATTCTGATTGTTTGAAATTTAAACTTTTGGATGTTGTTATATAAACAGCTATACTAATTTTAATTATATAGTAAACTAGCGATTCACCCTCGCTTCGCTCGGGTTCGTCCCTAGCTTGATTCCCCATACAAAGTGTCAATCCAATTTTAACCCCCATTTCCGGGATAAAAATCCTTATGACCTTCCCAGGGTCTTAAACTATCTTCTTACCAAATTTCATCTAAATCGGTTCAGTAGATCCAGAGATGACCCCCTACAACGTCACAAACTCAAAATCTTTACCTCTTTACAATATTAGTATAGATATAGATTAAACAATTTCTTGTTTAGATATTGTTTTTATTTTTAAGTTAATACTTATAGCACTTACTTTTTTAACTAAAACGGTGCTATTTCGACTACATTTTTTTTAAATATACCTATGAATTGTAATTGAAGTTACCAATCAATCAATACCACAATATACGAGTATACTACCATATTATGGTAAAATCTTGGTGCAAACTGTATACTATAACAAAGCACAATAACACTGTATATGCAAATATAGCAGAATTGAAAAAATACCAAGCATTGAATTTTCTTGTATTAACTGAGCAAATATTAGATGCAGTTTAGAAATAAAAGGAAAACACAGAATTTAATCTACGCGCAAAGATAGCTTTTCATTTCGACGTAAAATATTAAAAATTATTTCATACGTAAATATTTTAGCGCTCAATCTAAAGTAGTGCTACGAAATGAAATATATACCGCTCAAAATGCATATTTGTTTATATTTTGAACAACATTTTGAATGTGAAAAGTTAAATTAAATGTTTTGAATGTAATCTAAACCCATTCTATTAACAAAAACGGAATGAATGAGGCTCATTAAAACGATCTTCTCATCGCCCCGCCTTTAATTCATCGTCGTTGGTATAAAGCCCGCCTAAATTAAAATGCTACACTAGTTACCGGCTCTTTCATGTAAAAGCGAGGTTATTAACAAAAACGGTTAAGAGTTATGTGACCCACGCGTTTGGGGTTCCGCTCATGTTTAAATATATTTTTTCCTTTCTAAATACTAAGTAAATTTTGTTTTGGCTTTGTGGGCTTTTCATAAAATTATGCTCACTGACTTATGGGACAGGGATTCGATTCTCCGTTGTCGGTTTTTGGCTTTATGCCAGTTCTAACAATACATATCGAGTTGCAATAGTCGGAGTAGCGAATACCGTAGTCTGTTTTAACCTAACCGAGTTCAATATAAATGGTTAACTAGGAGAACGGCCTCGTTTGCTAGCTTGCATTTTTTGGGAAAAGGGACAACATACCTACGCAATCTCCAACTCATTAAATAACTCTGTCTGTCTCCGAGAAAATAACATGACCCTTTTATAGTTGCTGCAGTAAAGAAAAATTACACTTTATTATTATAATATTAAAATATTAACAAGGATTTCGAGTTTGAAATCTATCTGTACATATAATAAAATTGTAACTAAGTCGACTCTGTACATTAAATATTTTTTGGAAAATCTCATTGAAATAGACCTTATTATCGATACAGAGTCCGAATCTATAGTTTTTAGAATTTTTGTCTGTCTGTTACCGCATCATGAGAAAACCACTGGACAGATTTTGATGAAATTTGGTATGATGATAGCTGGTTATTCGGGTCAAAATATAGGATACTTTTTACCGCGGGGAAATATCTCTTTTGTGAGAAAAAATACAAAAACTGCATTGTAAGAGTATACTAATATGTAAAACCTAAGAATTTTTATTAGATATATAGATATTAGAAAAGATTTATAAGATATTAGAAAAAAGTTTTTGATCATCTGAACGCGGGCGGAGCCGCGGGCAATGCTAGTATTATATACACATAAGTATTTTACTAATTTCCTTGATATATGGCTCGGGTTTTTACAGTAACGTACGGTACCTTAAAAGTAAGGAGTATGTGAGATTACATAATGCGATAGGTTTGCACAGCGCGAGTGCGGGCGCGGAGTGCGGGCGCGAGTCGTCACAATGCGCACTATTAGCGAGCGCAAACACGCCGCCCACGAGTAATTATACAAGTTGATTATGTGGAACGTAACGCTTCCGTTTCCGCTGCCGCCTGTGTTTGTTGAAAGCTTCTTAGAAATCGCGCCTTGTTTTATGTCTTTGCATAAGTTTCTGGATGGTTTTATTTTACACTCTTCTCTTGTATCTGAATTATCAAGTTTTGGAAGTCGTTTTTACTCGTCTACATTTAATTACATATGGTGTAGATTTTAAGCTTAGTTTTTAAATGTTTGACAGTATAATATTTTGTTTCATTAAGTTAATAGGTTGATAGTGGAATATTCGTTTTGACGAAACTTACGGGACTTATATACAGTTGATCGAAAGCATGTTCTTTTTAAAAAATATATAAAAAATTATATATTTTTTTAAACTTATTATTTATTTTAAATTTTTCTATATTTTTAATGGATCAAATTAATAATATATTTTTATAATTGTGGGTAATATAAATAATAAATTTACTTCGATTTAAACTCACGTCGCTCGGGTGCGTTCCTACGAGTAGGTATCCGATATCCGGTCTGGGCTGTGATAGTTTAAGTCATAGTATATCTATATATTACCTAATCCAAATCCATCCCAAAAAACACACACATATAAACTCGCGATTTTAATAATAATAGTTCTGAAATAATTCAAAGATGAGAGTTGTCAATTAATTTTTTAAAGTTAAGCTTCTTTAGAATCGTTGTGATTTGAAACTCGATGAAACGAAAATGCGACACTAAAAAGACACATAAATATATCGAATTAAGCCGGCGAGAGAATGAGATAGAATATATAACACAGCAGTGAAAAATAAATAAAATGTAAAATAATTTTTAAACTTGGTAAAAAATAACTAAACCTTACAATTATCCTACTCTTGATACTCTATACATATAAGTAAGTATATTCATCTCATTCTCTCATAGGTTTTGAAGTTTCACTTCTACCATGTGTGATTTGTATACACACTTTTTTTTACAGATGCAGTGTCCGACGCCATATCCTCAAGCAGTGTTTTCTACCAGTACCGGGAAGGGTTTAATAACGCAGTACGGCGTAACGTGCGATTACGCGATCTCTTATAGTTTACCGATTTTATTAATTTATTTTTGTATCTCATTTAAGTCTGTTTGTGTTTTGTAAAGTTGTAATATTGTATAGGAAATAAATTTAAGGTAAAGCTAGTGTTAAGTTTTGTACATTCGTAAAGTAGTTTTACATATTTAGTATCTTAACTTCTTCTTGAAATAAACGATGTAATGCATTTTTGTTTTTTATTTATTTATATAAATAATTCTATAAATCTCAATATATAAAACATCTCATGCCAAAAAATTAAAACTGCAATGTTACAAAGAATGTGTTTGCAATAATTCAAAAACTTACATTATTTAAATACATGCTATATATTTAAAGTTTGTTATATTATATGGCAATTTCACTTTTTTCCTTAGTACATATGTGCTATAATACAGCTTCTCGGGTGATACCGTTTATTGAACTACACAGCTGACATCAATACTCAATTATCCACATTATATTATTATACATATTTTGGCATTACCTTTAACACTACAGTATGCATAAGCATATACAGAAACTTTGCGTCGGTGGTTTAGTGGTTAGCAGATCCGGAGCTGGGTTCTGGGTTCTAGGTTCAGGTCGTGCCAAGTAAGTGAGTTTATCTGTCAATTTGTAAGAGAGTTTCTGTTGAGTTTTCTGAAATTAGCTCGACTGCCTGATAGCCTGGGTTATAGAAGTTAGCGGCGATATACCAACTCGCCGAGGCAGAGAACGCAAAGCGGTCCTGCACCCGATTTCTCATCAGTCGTCTCGTTGCACTAATACAAAAATAGTATTTTTTATTAAGAAATATATCAAAATATTAACGTTAATATGGAATCAAGTTAAGTAAAAGAAAAGAAACGCTAATGAACACACATATTTTGGAATTATAATATTAGTAAGAATGTTTAAACACAATCATCCTGCGTCGCTACACGTGCTGCTACCTACTACTACTTGCTACTAGACTACGGCGTAGCAAGCAAGCCGAGCAGGCATGTTACAGTGTACAATAACTAACAGCTTTTATGGATATAAAAGAATGTAATTATGAAGAATGAAATCTATACATATAATAAAATTGTAACTAAGCCGAATCTGTACATTAAATATTTTTTGGAAAATCTTATTGAAATAGTCATTATTATCGATACAGAGGCTGAATCTATAGTTTTTAGAATTTTTGTTTGTCTTTCTGTGTCTATCTGTCTGTTACCGCATCACGAGAAAACAACTGAACAGATTTTGATGAAACTTGGTTTGATAGCTGGTTATCCGTATCAACTCAAAGGATACTTTTTACTGCGGGAAAATATCTCATCTCTAAGAAATCTATACTAAACCTTAAAATGTAACTAAAGACGAACCCGAGCGGTGCGAGGGTGAGTCGCTAGTGTAAAATAAAACACAATCTATATTTATAAGCTTTTATTATTATTATTTAACAACTAGTAGTTGGTACCAAACCCACCAACACCCATCTCAAAGGGAAATTTCGTGTTTGTTTCTATGTACCTACATAATCATGAATTCCTGTGATACGCATACGTACGATTCTGATATTTAGCCCTTTTTCACGTCCCACTGCTGGGCACGGGCCTCCCTTCAATACGAGGGGGATCAGACCATAGTCTACCACGCTGGCCAAGTGCGGGTTGGCGGACTATTCTCATATATAAGATAATAATAATAATTTGAGATAGATAGATGAGATTGATATAGATAGGCATTGAGTGACTTCGGTGTCGCTAGCTGTAAATAATCAGCATTTTTAACGTCTCACTACACGTTACTTAACTATTTACCTTTACCGTATTAAGCATGTTGAAACTAAAATTCGCACATTAATATCTCAAAACGTGCGAAAGCCGGTGTCTTTACATTGTTTCCAAACGACGATGCTTCATACAGGCTTCTATGTACATATCTATAAATACACGCGCGTATGTAATCAAGATCCTAGTAATTACTCTCCACATCTGTTACTTGAACAATAAACCATTAAAATTATCATTGTTCCGCTGCAATAACTCAAAAACTTCACCAAACATCACCTGCATTTAGTTACTAAAAGCGTAAGCGCTGAAATACTTAGTAAATATAAATACATCACGAATATTACGAGCTCGCGTCAAGTGTGCTGATGAATGGTCTAACTTGTGTAAAATATACGATTGTTCTTGTTTTATTAAGATTTGTAATAAGACACACATTTATTATTTATTGGTATCGTCTGCAACATTCTATTTAATTGAAATGTAAATCACATGGCTCTAACACGGATATCTAACATTCGTGTGCTGAGTTTTTAGAATAACATCTCTTCGCTGTTTCGTAAAAATGAATCGTTAGTAACATATCGATTTAGATATTTTCGTACTATGGGAACTAAACCTGCGTTTAATAACGGTTCCTCTGATCTATGTAGGCTATTTTTGTTCTGTGCATTAATATTATATGTCACACAAAAAATATATGATCAAAACAAGATACTAGTTGATGTGATTTGAAAGTTGAAAATAAATATTTTATGTTATACCTACATATATTTATAATTAACTAGCGACTTACCCCCGCTCCGCTCGGGTTCGTCCCTACGTTTTGAGATTAGTATAGATTTCATTGAAACATTAGAAAATAGAAATCCTTCAAAAAAACTATTATAGATCTGTGAAAGATCTTTTTAAGAAAAAAGTAGGTTTATTTTACGCATACTATAAAATAGTATACACCACTCGTGACTAGAAATCAATTAATGCATCCCTTAAGTCACACGTATTATAATTTACTATATTAATTCTTTATTTTATCTAGTAAACTAGCATTGCCCGCGGCTCCGCCCGCGTTTAGATGACCAAAAACCAAATTCTTAGGTTTTACATATTAGTATACTCTTACAATGCAGTTTTTGTATTTTTTTTCAGAAATGAGATATTTTCCCGCGGTAAAAAGTATCCTATATGTTGACCCGGATAACCAGCTATCACCATACCAAATTTCATCAAAATCCCTCCAGTGGTTTTTTTGAGATGCGGTAACAGACAGAAAGACAAAAGTCTAAAAACTATAGATTTGCCCTCTGTATCGATAATAATGTCTATTTCAATTAGATTTTCCAAAAAATATTTAATGTACAGATTCGGCTTAGTTACAATTTTATTATATGTATAGATGTAGAGCATACCCACAATTTCTGCTAAAACTTCCGTAAATATACCTAGTAAATATTTTAAGGTTTTGATAAAATTTCTATTTTAGAGTTTACAAAACATTGACTAAGATATTTTAAAATTAAATAACCATATAAAACTAAAGGAATGAAGTCCTCTATAATAAGCTTTACTTGTAATGTATATAGGAACCAGTCTAACATATTGTTTCATACTAACTATATCATAAAGAATTATCATTAATCTTGTAAGACAGCAGAGACAAAACATATGTAAATTTTTATGTACGTTTCAACTAGAAACATATTTTTTTCTATTTTATAACGACTGTCGAGAAGAAATGAAAAAAATACAAAAGTAAAAGCTGATTTTACGTTTTATCTAAATATCACTTAAAAATTTAGTAATTATCTGATAAAAATATAATTGTATGATTTCTCAGCATTTAGTTTGTTTTAAGTGGCATAAAGAAACTTGTTTCAACACCGGATATGGAGCGGAGCTCTCCGTTTCGTAGACAGGCAGGCACAGACACGTAGGCATGTTAACGACTACGGGGTTTACGTAAGTTTCTATTATATTTTGTTATAAAAATTAGTATGGAATAAATAATGTTACCATGTAATTAATGGTGAAGTTATTAATTTTCTTGTGATATTAAAGCGGTTATTTATAACTAAAATAAAACTTATATTCGTATAAAGTAGATATTTTAAAATGTATCAAATCATTTATCATTACCACAATAAGGACATATGGCTACAACACATGAAAACTATTTGATTGTCCATGTTGCCAGGATAAAATATATGTACTTTAAGAGATTATTATTACTAACTCGCACTATGTAACTTTTTGTAACAATGTTCGACGGACACTATTTGATTATACTCTGATCAAAACTAACGATTTTGATCCATATAAATTACTCTGTTATGCGTAAAAGACATTTGATGAAAATTGACATTTTCTTTTATCGAAAGTCTTTGATTATTTGAGAGTCTTTTATTTAAAGAATACTGTATATGTACAATAATATCATAAAGAGGTACCGTTTGTATTACGTAGTAGGGTTATCATTGTATGCCTGATACAGTCTACAGATATCTGATACAGTCTTTGAAACTACTGGTCCGATGCTGAAAATTCTGTCACTAATAGGAAGCTATATAATCGCCAAATGCTAAGAGTATATGTAGAATATTTTTATTTTGATAATAATATGACCTGGAGTAACACATGTGCTGCTGTTAGGCACCGAGAGACACACCCGAGCGAAGCGAGGCTAAGCCGCTAGTTGGGTATATATTTAACTAGCTACTCACACTCGCTTCGCTCGGGTTCGTCCCTAGCTTGATTCCCACTACAATTCATCCCCATTTTCACCCCCTTAAGAGATGATTTTGGGTAAAAAAAGTACCCTATGTCCTTTCTAGGTCTTCAAACTATCTTACCAAACTTCATCTGAATCGGTTCAATAGATCCAAAGGTTACCCCCTACAACGTCACAAACTCACAAACTTTACTTCTTTATAATATTAGTATAGATTATGAAAGGATTAAAGGAAATATAGGTAAATAAATACTCAGCGTCACATGTACATATTTTATTTTTAATAATGAAAACAACTAATCACGTGAATTTCTATTAAGCTATGTATATACATCTTTATATTCCCGACGCCACAATTCCCCATCTCGTGCATAGTGCAGTTACGTCTCACATTTACTCAATCATATTTACAAAATGGCGTCGGGTTTCAATACAAGCTAATTATTATATAATTTAAAACTGTATGTCTTTCTTTAATTACAATCTGAATCTTAGTCTAATAATTAATTTACAATAAACTAATTAAAAACAATTATATATATTAATGGCTACTAAATTACCTGTACGTTTAGATCTCAAACGCTTTTAATCGCGCACTTCAAGGGATTTCAATTGAAAACAAACACATTTTTAATATTTTTCATGGTGGTAAATGGCAGTATATTATTTATGTTGTATATTAAGAAGGCTTAGACATGATGTCATTCTACAATCGATAAAGAATAGATATGTAAAAAAATTATGGGAATAACACAATATTATGATTATATAATATATCGATTGAAGTTACTTCAATAAAAGTTTTAAAATGTCTATTCTAATATAAGGTTTGAGAATGACATTTTGTCTAACGCTTAACATATGTTTTACAATTTCTATTTCTCTTATAGTTAATCGTTACCTTCACGATGCTTCAAAAATAGCGCTTATAATTTCATACGATAATTTTTCCCTTCAAGTAAGAATCCAAAATGAAAAAGCTGTACTGATGTACAACTTACGTATACACTCTGAGTATAGTCTGAGTATGATAACAATCTATGCTGTTAATGCTGCGAATTTCAACAATATCTCGTAGAAAAGATGTTTTTTTTTTAATAAAAAGCAGTAATGAGGATTGCCGACAGAAGTGAAAACTTAAAACTATAAACAAACAGTTGTTATTTTTGGATATTCAAATTAATTGTTTGATCTTAAATTAAAATGTGTAAATTCAAACTGTTTACAATTTACATTCATCTAGTTTTGACATCTATTGGCACTCTTTAGTGTTAGCGTTAACACGTCACGTGACCATGTCGATGACGACTTACATGAATTTACTCCCCGTACAAACCTGCCTATAGAAGTTTTCACCTCAAAAATGCTAAAATCATGATCACAAATTGAAAATTAAAAAAAATATGAAAATGACATATCGAATTGTTAGGTCACGTGATCAAAATAACATTCCCATATCTTTCAGTTATCTATTATTTTTATCGATTTTAAAAAGTCAGTTTATCGATATAAAAAGTTCTTTTGTTGATAGTTTGTGTTAATATATTCTAAAGAGAATGTCTGATAACATTTTCAAGTACATTACAAGATCTCTCCCTAACTTAACTTAAAAGTTCTATTACATAATAAACTACATATTTACAAAGCATCCAACTTTTAGCGTTAAAACTTAATTATTTTATAACCAAATTTATATCTATAATAATACTATATACAATAAAAATTATTTTATTTTAAGAACAAAATTATTCACAACGATTTGGTCGAATACTGACTTCGGTAAATTACTTGTAAATATTTACAAAAAAATACATTAACAATACTAGAATTATTGAAGTAAACAAAATAATATATGGATATTAGTATTAGGTACTTACACAAATCAAATGGACATTTTCTGACGAACAAACTCACAGACTAATCGCCCGATTACGATCCAGCAATTATACCATTTTTTATATTAGATGGGTTATTGTATAAGTGCTATAAGTGTTAACAAATAAATTGTAATAAGTGAACACTTATAATATTATATGAAACATATCTGACCAATTGAAAAGTAGGATGTGAGAGTTATGAAATCTATATAATAAAATTGTAACTAAGCTGAATCTGTACATAAGATATTTTTTGGAAAATCTTATTGAAATACACATTATTATCGATACAGAGGCTGAATCTATAGTTTTTAGAATTTTTGTCTGTCTGTCTGTCTGTCTGTTACCGCTTCACAGAAAAACCACTGGAGGGATTTTGATAAAATTTGGTATGGTGATATCTGGTTATCCGGGTCAACATAAAGGATACTTTTTACAGCGGGATAATACCTCATTATTGAGAAAAAAATCAAAAACTGCAATGTAAGAGTATACTAATATGTAAAACCTAAGAATTTGGTTTTTGGTTTGGTCATCTGAACGCGAGCGGAGCCGCGGGCAATGCTATAATAATAATAATAATATATTTATTTTTCTCATCACAAAAGCCATAAGTATAATAAGGTTGTAATATCATAAGTAAATTTAACAAATTACAGCAATAGAAATCTTTGTGAGAGACTAGTGTTTGTACTAAGTGATAAAGAATCTGTATTACATATCTATGTTAAGAGCGGTGAACATGATTTTAAAGTAAAATTATAAGTATATAATAAGTTTAATAATGTCCAATGCAATTGTGAAAAACATCTACGATTACGCTTTTTCCTCGAAACGTTCATTCACATTATACTAATTGGTACTTCAAACACAAAATTTGACTTTTTAAGCGCTTTTTATATTCAAATGTAACATTTTCGACTAAAAATAGGCGTTACACGAATACCCTTAGAAGTCAGCACAAAATTAATATACTTACGTCGTTTTCAATGAAAAAATATTAGATCAGCCTTTCGTAAACATGAAAAATCTAATAACTGTACGAATATTCGTACATACTGTTATATTTTATTGTATTTCATTTGTAAGATAAAATATATTTCGTCCTTAGCGTTCTTTAGTCGGAATAATTTAATCTGTAATAACAATAACTAAGTTTGTCTGTCGACTAGCTCAGGTAACTAAAAGTATAGACAGTTACTTATTCTACTTTACAATTCATATTTAACTATAAATATATAACATTGATTGCGTACATTACTACACTATCGCTACATACTACATATGGCACAATATACTGGCACAAAGTGAAATATGGCACTAGAGAATTCACACGTGTAGCTTGTTTAATGTTGATGAAAGTGACGTTTTATATCTAACGTATTCGTATGTTACATACATACAATACCAATATAAATAATTGTGTAATTATAATTCAATTCAAATATTAAAACCTAGAGCCGAGCTTTTCGTTGAGAAATAAACAAATATAGGGAAAGCTTAAAGCTTTATGTAATCTTTCGTAATATGTAAATGTGTAAGCTTTAAAATAAATGAGAATTTATACGAATCAATAACAGCTACACGATTTCTTTATTAATTAAACATTCAAAATTTTATTGATCTTAAAAGAAATCATGCTTAGATTTAAATTAATATTTTACTTATTTATACCGGCGGTATTATTACAGGGAGAATATTACAACATTTCTAAATAACTTATCATGAAAACGATTTATTCTATGAATATAATAAAACTCATATAAAAAAGAAATAAAACTAGGCAAACCCATTATCCATGTTCATACTTTATAAACAAACAGACAGTCAGTGCAAAAGTGGCATATCTTGTAATATTGAAATTTGTAGAACTTTAATACAACATAACGTGTAATATTTCACAAGTATATATTAACATTTTAATGAATTGTTAATATAGATATACATATGTATACATTTACCATATAATTAATTTATTCTATACCAAAAAGAAAATTAGGAAGATTTGGAGATAGGTCACTTTTGCACTGAAAGCCTATATTAATTAAGCACAACTTACTTAATCTAAATGCTTGGGTGGCTCCGGCGGGGCAGACGGCGGGTCGTGCAAGAGTGGCAGCGGCAAGGGCGGGAGAGGCAGAGGCAGGAACGCCCTCGATTGGAAGTTTGCGAGGGACTGTAAGAGTGCTGCGGAATGCTCGTGTGCTTTGCGACGGAGCTCCGCTACGCTGGAAGACCGAGCTTCCTCTTTTGGGCAACATGGACAACCCCAGCCTGGAAAAATGTTTAGTTTTAGTAACTTTATAAACAATTTTGGCTGATGGATAACCATTTGCATAGAAAAATATAGTAGTCTATGAGAATCAGATTCGTCCATCCTCTATGCATATATTCATATTGTAACATATAACAAGTTATTGTCGCAGTACGGAGGAAAATAAAAATATTATATTTTACACTTTTTATTTTCAAGTATGTACCTACATACATATATAATAACAAAATAAACTAAACCTACATGTGCCGTTGTCTCTTCCATTCCTCACTAACTTTTCTTAGATTGTATTAACAGATATCTAATTTTAGGGGCCTGCATACAAAAAACTACTAAAAATTTCCAGTTTCCAGCTGCCATAATTCATACCCATTCATATGTAGAATTTTTTATCCAATCTTAAATAAATATATTAAACCAACGTACCTTTAAGAGGAAAGAAAGGTTGTGACAAGTGGTTGAGATGCTGCGAGAGGTGCGACAGATGCGGGGGCAAGAACAGCGGGGGCGGTGGTGCGGGCGGGTCTGAGCCGGCCGGCGACGAGCGAAACGCCCCGCTATAACAACAAAATGAGTAATTAATATTGAAAAAGAGTTTAGAGGTCAGTTATATATCATATATTTATTTACACGTGTATACTGCTAAATTAAAATAAATTCGTGTATTATCTTTATAAGGTGTCACTCATTTAGATTTTTCAATGATGTATAGTTTTAAGTAACAGGTATTTAATAGTAAAAGTTCGTTAACAAGGTACTTTTAGTGTTTTCTTATTCTAGTTTAATTGAATTTAACCAAATTTTATATGAAAGAATTATAATAATTGTATGAAAAAATTCCAGGCGATGTTTTTATATGAATATAATATACTTATAGAAAGTTAAAAAGCTGTAAAAGATTCCAGTACAAAATCGTGTCCACAATCTCTCATAAAGGTTTTTTTCAAATACTATTTACCTATATAAAATTTTGACATTAATAAACATTTTAAATAACACTATCTTTTCGGGTTTTTTTAGAGACATTCTCTCCCGTGACCGTGATTACTATAAAGCATTTGAAACGTCGGGAACCAAAAATCAAAATAAATCCTCCAAAAAACCTATAAGGTTCGTCTCTAGGTACTTAACGTTTAGTATAGGTTTCTCAGTGATGAGATATTTTCGAGCAGTATAAAGTATCCCCCGGATAACCAGCTATCACCATACCAAATTTGATCAAAATCCGTCTAGTGGTTTTCTCGTGATGCGTTTCCAGACAGACAGACAAAAATTCTAAAAACTATAGATTCGGCCTCGGTATCGATAATAATGATTATTTCGATAAGATTCAGATTCAGAGTTAGGGAATATTTGCGTAAATCTAAGAAAGTATTATTATATTAATAAACATATCGAACGTCTTTCAATTTGATTTAAATAAAAGAAATAAGAATATCGCCTAAGATTGACGACCGATAGTCCCGTGGGATGGTTCGCTTGTTGCTGGGTAGAGATCAAACAACCCTTCTTGGCTTATAACACTGATATGATTTAAGGACAGCACTAGAACCCAGTTGACATAATGAATTATTAAAAATGTAATATTTTCATATTATGTCTTACTAATGGTCTATGTAGAAATGTAATATAAAAATACAGCACACAGACCTTTTGAAATTATGAACAACGATAATCAAAATTAAAGCCTTCGTACGTTTATTGAAAACTAGTGACTCACTCTCTCTTCACTCAGGTTCATCTCTAGGTACGTTTTAACGGTTAATAAGGTAAGGTTAATATAATAGATAGACTATATATTATATGATATATAGCTTATAGCCTTCCTCAATAAACGGGCTATTCAATGAAAAAGAATTTTTCAAATCACATTAGCAGTTACTGAGATTAGCGCGTATAAACGAACAAACTCTACCTCTTTATAATATTAGTATAGATAGATAAGAGTATCATATTTTATTTTTACTTCAACATAAGCCAAACAAATCATATTAAATATTAGTGTCCTCTCCAATTTATAAACTCAATTGTCCCAAATGCTATCTACAAATATATTTAAATCACCATTATAAGGACATATTTTGTCATGAGGAAAGTATACAAACTGAAATCCAGTTGAATAAATCAAAATCACTCAGCTAAACGCTGAGAGCGTCAGCAAAATTCAAAATAGCAGATCGTTTCAGAGGACAGATTGAGACAATGAAATGAACGGCCGAGGTGTCGCGCTGCTCCGGCATTCTCTCAGTGCATACTTGATGTGCCGCGACCGTGGGGGCTAAGTTGGAGGAAATAGCGTAAAGAAAAGAGTTTTTATAAAATAATATTTTTTTAAAATTATTGTGGCAATAGCTTGATCAGATCACGCATATAATATTGTTTTGGTTAATGTTGTGTGTAGTTATATCATAATAAATATGTATAGCGATATTTACATCATACATAAGGCTATACTTAGTTCATTCAACTTTTCTTGTAATTTTCCTAAAACCAATTAATTTCCAAAACAAGCACTATAACAATTAACAATTCGATACGAATCACCGCTATCGCCTATAACTTTAAGCGAAATTCCCTCGGGCACTCGTTCAATGGAATCAAAGGATTTGCGTTCATTACAGATGGTAATAATTGATGGGTGGCACCGGGCGCGCCACCGCATGCCGCCGAGATGCTTTTACTGATACACCAGTACACTCGCCTGCACTCCGGATGTACCCTCACGTATAATACAATCTGACTTTGCAACTAGCTAATGCAACTTACATAACGTGAAAGGAAAGAAACATTACTTATTTATATCTGTTGTTTTAGTGACAATATAGTTTTGACTGAATTTTCGTGCTTTGTTGCTTATTTTAATATATTAAAATTCTATGTTTGTTTTGAAGTTGTATTTATGTATTATTAACAATTATTATTTGTTAACATTTAACATGGAAACTTGGAGAATTGATTGAAGACAGTTAACTTATAAGTACCAGAATATTATAACGATATATAACAAAAATATATACACAAATGGGCAAACAAAAAATAACTTTTAAAGTTTTAATCGTTTTTGGGAATCATAAATATTATTAAATCATTTTTTTTTTGCAATTAAACCTTATGACATATATCGGTTATATCTAACCCGTAACTCGTTAAGCTTTAATTATAAAACTTAGGGCAAAACTTACTTTAGTCCCTTATGAAGTAAAGCCCTTCTTGGCATCTTTAATACCTACAAGATTGTATTGCAAGGGTCAATCTCAAAGTTTGGCCATGTCTAACGAAGCGTACCTCTATTAATTGGTTAAGGGGAGAGTGGGAGAGGAGGACATCCCAAACTGTCCTCCTTGAGGAGTTGCTAATATGAATATTCAACTAGCGAATTGAATACAAGGCGTGGAACAAAGAGAATTGATGCTTCCCTTAATACTGTTACTAATTTTGATTAAAGCGCCCGGCGAATTGAGTGCCACCTCTGTTTGTTGGTCTTTGATGAAATAGTAAATTGATTGTATTAAATTTTCTCATTGATGTTGTGAATTGACTGTTGTAGTGAGAAATAGCGATGTGGTATTTTTAAGGCTTTAAAGTTAATAATTAATAATACGTATAGTTAAGCAATTAATATGAAATACACGATCTTATTAAGTCTAGGGACTAGGCATCGCTTCATTCAAGTCCTAAATAAATTTCGCACGACTCTACAACCCCCTCTTGAACTCCTTTTGCTCTAATTTTTAAGTTGCCTGTGGTAACAAAATTCATAATAAAATGTGCCTACATAATTGTTTTATTTAGTCTACAATTTAAAGTTGTACGTTTTAAATATTTACTAATATAGTACTCTTTAAAGAAATCAGCTCTAATTCATTCAAAGTTTATAATCTAGTAAACCGTGATTAACTTTTTTGACCCGTCTAACATCTCTCGGAACGACATGTTTTATCAGGGTAGAAAGTGGAAAAAAAATCATGCAAATCCCTTGCTGGATGAAAAAAAGAAAAGCCAACAAACATTTTTTTATTTATAATACTAGCGGCTCACCCTTGCTCCGCTCGGGTTCGTCCCTACGAACGTTTTATTTTCCCGCAGTAAAAAGTATCCTATAAGTTGGCCCGGATAATCAGCTATCATCTTACCAAATTTCATCAAAATCCCTCAAGTGGTTTTCTCGTGATGCGTTCCCAGACAGACAGACAAACAAACATACAGACAAAAATTCTAAAAACTGTAGATTCGGCCTATGCATTGATAATAATGACTATTTCAATAAGATTTTCCAAAAAACATTTAATGTATAGGTTCGACTCAGAATTTATTATATGTATAGATTAGTAAGGATTGAAACGTCTAAGTAAATATGTCAGGAAAGCTTATAAAGTGTGCCACAAGATATAACGTATCTCGTAGGTAGAGGCGGGTGTAGTAGGTAATGAGAGCGATCAATTATTCATGCAATTAACTGATTATAGCGACATGGGCCACCCCCAACTATCACGCCTTTGTGAGAGGTATGTTACACGTCCGACTGTGTTGTACCTAAAGTTTAGTTTTGAGCGTAGATCCACCACTTTCACTGGTGAATTTTTTTTTGTTTCCAAATAATTTTGTTTAATATAAAAGGTTACAAAGATATATTCAAATAAAGTAAATACAAACAAAATTTCCTATTGTTTTTTTTTTAATTTGGCTTAATTAAAGTGTTTTAGGAATCTCAGTATTAGGTTTATTTTACACCAACACTAAACCTATCAAGTTTTAAAAGAGATTATACTATAACGCACTATTTTATTTATATAAAACTAACAAAGGGTAGTTTGATGAAATAAAAATAAAAATGCTTGTAATTTGTTGCGTAAAAAATATTCATATTCGAACCAAAGCTCCTGGGATAGCATTACATCATTTCATATACTCAAAAACGTTAACGAAGGCTCGTTTAACTCTTTCTCATTATTGTAATGACATACAATAAGGCTGTACAAATGAGCATTTTTAAGGATCATTATTTAAAGTTGGTCTGAGAGATTGAAGAGAAATATTGGTATACCGCATAAATATATATTGAAAGTTGAAACTATATGAACACATTCATTGTAATAATTTAGAAATGGTATGTATAACCACTTACTATCATCGGGGCTTAGACAAGATGCCATTGTACAAGCTGCTGACGCTCAAGCTGAAGACTAAAGAAGTATATATATAATACTAGCGACTCACCCTCGCTTCGCTCGGGTTCGTCGCTGGCTTGCTTCCCAATACAAACTGTCATCCACATTTTCACCCCCTTAAGGGATGATTTCCGGGATAAAAAGCATCCTATGTCCTTCCCAGGATCTCAAACTATCTTCTTATCAAATTTCATCTAAATCGGTTCAGTAGATCCAGAGATTACCCCCTACAACGTCACAACTCACAAACTCTACCTTTTATAATATTAGTATAGACAGATGCAGGCATAACGTATTATGATTCTATGACAAACCGATTAAATACCTACAGGTATGTAGGTAAACGATACATCCCTTCAATACATTTTTTTTTATATTTTATTCTTCTT